ATTCTCATTGGAGAGCAGAAGCAGAATAAGGTTTTTAAATCCAGCCTTTATACAAAAGTTCTTACTTTATACCCTTAATTGTAAGGGATAAAGTAGTATAAACTGGAATAGAACTGAGAAGCAATTAAATACGTAAACTGTGCAAAAAAAAAAAAAAACCACACCAAATGGGCTTGAAGCCTTTCTCCTTTTTACACATACCTGTAAAAGGGAGGAAGGGAAAGCTTCACTGGCATGTTTGTGAGCACCATGACTTTTTTTTGCCCACCCCACCCTGCATACTTTGTCCCCTACCATGTATATACTTTCCTATCATGTCTGCAAAACATGTAGAAGGCAGAGCTTGGAGGCAGAGTCAAGTGAGGAATCAACCTGGAGTCATTATGTTTCACAAACGGTTTAAATCCAGCCCCTCTTGAATCCCATCGATTCTTATCATCATCATCTTTTAATGACCCCATAATCCCTTGTGAGGTGGCGTCAAGGCAACTGAATGGAGCCGAGTGTTTACTGGCCGGATGCCCTTCCTGTTGACAATGCAGAGTTTTATTCAGCAGATATAATTTCAACATGCTGAAAGAGAGGAATATCAGCTTCTAACCTAGGATTGAACTCACAGCCTCCTGATTGTGAGACGAGAGCTCCATCTCTAGGCCGCCACATCACTCAATTCCATTATGTAGGGCCAATTTAGTGTTGACCAGTTCATTGACTAGATTCTTGTGAATCAGTGTGAGCAATAAATCGGATTAATTGGAGTTTAGCCTGTGGCTCTAATTCTTCACACCTGACAGAACCATAGGTAAATATTTATGTCTTTATGATTGCAAAAAAAAAAAAAACCAAAACCCCGCAAAAAAACCAAAAGCTTACTCTACCCAACAGGATTGTTGTGAGAAAAACACGAAAGACAGTACGATGTCGGCTGTCTCGAGTTCCTGCAGGAAAACGAAGCTATAAATCTCTCCAGACATTTAACAAGTACGTTTCAGAGAAAACCTGAAGACTGCTGAAGGACAGTCATAAATCACCCTGTAAGCCTTTTGAAAAAGGACTGATATCGTTGCCAGGTATTAACTGTCAAAAAATGTTTTGCAACAAGTGAAATATCACTGAAATTGCCTGGCGGTGTTTTTATTTATTTTTATCTCCAAGAAGGGAAAGACCTGAACAATAAAACATCCGGATAACTAGAAAGCAAGCGCTATTTATTCTTAATGCCGTATACTGGGTTTTTCCAAGTGGGGTTCTACAAAAATTTGACGGATCTGTGAGAAACAAAGGGGAATTAGAATTTCAATGCAGCATTTTTGCATTCCTGGAATTTTGCCCCTTGATTGGGGACCCCTGGGATTAAAAAAAAAAACAGTTTTAACCAACGTGTTTCTTAGTCTGAAAAAGTTGCGAAGCTTTTGCGAAGAAGACTACAGATGGAAGAATGGAGCGTGTTCGGAGAGTTAATGCTGAAATGGGTAAGTGTAAAATGATTCCCATTGGGATAAAACTCCCTAATTTTCACACGTACGCAGATAGAGTCTTGCTTCTCCGAAATCAAACAAGACAAAGCTCTCACAATCATACAAAAGAACAAAATGGAGATGTCTACTCAGTGTACGGCTGTCAAGAAAGCTAATGCCATGCCAAGGATTGTTAAGAAAATAAAACTGTTCACAGTGTACTGCTTTTATATAAATCTATGGTACATTTTCCTCTGAAATGCTGTGGACAATTATGATCCCTTCATTTCCAAAAGGATATAACAGAGCTGGAAGATATGCAGAAGAATGCACTAAAATGATCTGATGATGGTTTACGCAATGTAAGTAAAGCCCAAGATGTTTATGATTCTTTACAGGTGGCTTATGACCAAAACAGCCCAAAATCTGTGTTGCTAAGTGAGACATTTATTAAGTGAATTTTGCTCCATTTTACGACCTTTCTTGCCACCATTGTTAAGTCAATCTTGGTTGTCAGGTCACAAAAGGAGATCAGATGACCCCAGGAGACTTCAACCGTCATGAATACAAGTCAGTTGCCAAGCATCTGAATTTAGATCCCATGACCATGGGGATGCTGCAACGGTCATAAGTGTGAAAAATGGTGTCAGCCTTGGAAGCCGTATTTTTCTTGGCAGCTTCAAGGCTGCAACATTTACTGCCTGGGAATTTGGGAGGGAGGATTTCATAGTGGGGTAGAAGGTTAGACACAACAATATTCCTTTCTCGGAGAGTCAAGGACATGTTGCCCTGCACCTGGGGAGGAGCGGCTGGGGGAATATCTCTAGTTGGGACGACAATTTGATTAGGCCACGTGATGGACTGATGGGTGCAAGGGATGGATCTTTGACTTCTCTTTTGGGAAGGGAAAACCCGGAACGCTCTGATTTGAGTTTTCCCAGATGTGCCAATATGCCAACTCTAATAAAATGGAACTTTGAGGAAATGCTTGTCTCGGAATTTATTGGTATGGAGTTGGTTAGTTGGAACGCTGACAAATGGTCATAAGTCACAGTGCCGTTGTAACTTTGAACAGTCACTTAAATGAAGTGTTCTAAGTTCAGAACTACCCGTACTTTGAAAAAAAAATTAGTAAAACATGATCGAAACGTATAAGAACATAATCAGGGCCCTGCTGGATTGGATCACTGGTCTATCTGGTCCAGCAGTTCTCACAGTGGCTCATCAACTGGACCAAGAAGCCTGATTTCCTTCAGAAGCAGTCCCACTTCCATTAAGACTAAGAGCCATTGATGTCCAAAACTTCCATGAACTGGTCTAACCCTTATAAAACGATGCAGAGCATGGAGAAAGTAAATAGGTTTTTCTGCATCTCTTAAAACAAAACCAAGGTCATCTATGGAAGCAAATTCTACAGTATCATCTGCATCTGCCATCCTAGAACATCCTTAATGAATGTGTCTCTGGAAGGAGTGATGATGGTCCCAATTTTGGATGTTGTTAAAAGAAGATTTGATCAATTCATGGAAGACAGGTCTACCCAGAGCTATCAGCCTTGAAGATTCACCGTATTGGGCCCCCCATGAAAGGGAATAGTGGCAGAAGAGGTGGTGTCTTTGTCTCCACTGGTTAACTGTCCTCACTGTTAGGAAGTTTCTCCTTAATTCCAGGTTGCTTCTTCCCTTGATTAGTTTCCAACTATTGTTTCTTGTCCTGCCTTCAGGTGCTTTGGAGAATAAATCGACCCCCTCTTCTTTCTGGCAGCCCCTCAAATACTGGAATACTGCTATCATGTCATCCCTAGTTGTTCTTTTGGAGATACCCAATAGCATCTGGGTTGTTGGTGTGTTTGATTCCACAGAGATATTTTAATGTCCTTAAGTGATTCAGAGGTCTTTCTTTGGCAAATGTAAAAACCCTTGATTTACCTAATGTCCTAAAACCTTACAGCATGCCAGGAAAAAAAAAAATGATGTGTTTTTCAAAATGAGGGTAATCACAGAACTAGGCTTATTCTGAATATCTCAGCTGGTATTGTGTCCTCAAAACATTGGCACAGTGTTACACACACAGAGGGCCTTTTTTGTTTGAAATGCCTGGCCAGGAGTCCTTTCCAACTCTGTTATTCTATATTCTATTCTATATTCTTTTTTTTTAACAGTACAATGCTGCTTTCACTGGCTTTCAACATAGGTTTGTTTGCCTGGGAATTTTAAACACATTTGCCCTGAACAGTTTACACTGTTATCAATCGTGGTATAAATCTTAAAATTATCACAACCTTAAAAAAAATCCAACAATGTAAACAGCACTACACACAGTATAGGACTGCTCTGTTTAAAAAATAATAATAATATGCAGAACTTCAATCTGGCACTGTAGTAATTTAGTGATGTTAATTTAACCTCACCAGGAAAAAGAAGAATATATGCTTTGAAAGTTGTGTAACCTGGGGCAAAGAAGCACACCAACCTGAAAACCATTTTGAATTTTTTTTAAAAAAATCATTTAACTCACAACCAGTGGGAAGGAATAGAATATCTATTCTATATTCTAAAGACAGCTGAAAGACCAATCTACTGCAGACACAGAAGACCATAAGACTGAGCCACAGAGGGACACTAAAAAAGTATCAATATGAAAAGCAGAATTGACAACATTTAAAAGGCAGCCCTCGACTTACAACAATCTGTTTACTGACCATTTGAAATTACAGTGGCACTGAAAAACTGGTCCTCGCATCGATGACTGTTGCATTATCCCCAGAGTTACATGATAAAAATGTTGGCCCTTGGCAACTGGCATGTATTTATGATGGTTGCAGGATCCCAGGCTCATGCGATCATCACTTGTGACCTTCCCTAGCTTCTAACAAGCAAGGTCAACGGGGAAAGCTGGATCTGCCCAACGACCGCACAATTCACTTAACACATGCAACGATTCGCTTAACGAACAGATCCAAAACTGGGTGCGACTCATTCAACAACCGCTTTGCCCTGCCGTGAAAAGTCTGGTTATATACCTGTGTCTCCAATGAACCCAGGTGACTGACAGTTGAGTCTGAGGTGGCACGTTACGACAAGGACTCTTAATCGTATTGCACCAAAGTGTAGCTCCGTGTTCCAATATTCAGCTCCTTGGTATGGCACCCACTTTTTAAGAAAAACAAATGAAACTTCTAGCTGCAAACTGGGAGCTCTGGAGGAAAAGGAAAGGAACTGGGAAGCAATACAGACAGTAGGCCATCACAAAGGACTTTGGGCACCGAGTTGGTTTTGTTTTAATGTCCACTAACTAGAGCCCCATGCAAAACCTTTGGTTGTTTCTTTCATCAGATGGGCAATACCAAAGGGAAGGAGAAAAAAGATTTACAGAATCCTTTCGGGCTTGAAAGAAAAAACCAACAAGCTTTTAAAAAAGTATGAATGTTTACATCTCCGTCAAATTCCCCGTATGGTACACCTTTGTACATGGGTGTGTTTTGTCCATCTATATATATGTACATCTATTCACACACCCTGGGATTCCTGCTTTCCGAGGAGATTAAAAATCCATTGAGAGGGTACCCTGACCAGCGTCTTCGTGACCTCGGACGTAGATTTCACAAGGGATCTCCTCCATCACTCGGTCTTCGATTACCTGCTCGGGACATTCGTGGGCCTGCTTGAACGTGTAGCTACTTTTCTTGAAGGTGCTGTTGAAGGTTTTCATCGGCTGCGGAGGCGCAAAATCGTTGTGGAAAGGGAGTTCCATGGAACTAAGGTTGGTCCTGCTTTGCTTGGCCATGGTGGCGGCTTGCGAGCCACAGTGATGGTCGTGAATGCACCGCGAGGCGGTGGAAGAACGCCTCATTTTCTGGTAGTTTTCCAGTTCCTCAGAGAGGTCAGCCAAATCGGCGGAAATCTCTTTGTCCCTCAGGGAGAAGAGTTCGTAGTGAGGAGGGTCAAAAACCTCCTGGAAGCCAGTTTTGTTGAAGGTGGTTTTGCAAGTCATCACTTTTTTGCGAGGTTGCTTGATCTGCACCAGGATGGAAATGATGAGGAGGACCAAGACGATGCCCGAAGTAATTCCAATGACCGTCCCGTGAGTTTTGGTGATCTGTTCAAATAATCCTGTCTTCTTCTTTTCTAAAACAAACCAACCAACAAACGGATTAATGAAGAACTTAAAATGATCAGCGACCAATTTCAAATCCAAACTACAGGTTGTAAGCCTCAGCTTACAACCACAACCGAGCCCAAAATTACTGGGCTACACATGAGACACTTGTTCTGTGAGTTGTGCCCCATTTTGCGACCTTTCCTGCCACAGTCGTTAAGTGAATCACTGCAGCGGTTAAGTCAGTAACACCATTGTTAAGTGAATCTGGCTTCTCCATTGACTTTGCCAGTCAGAAGGTCACAAATAGCGATCAAATGGATCCTGCAACCATCATAAATATGAGCCGGCTGCCAAGCATCTGAATTCTGATCATGTAACCATGGTGGAGGCTGGAATGGTCGTAAGTCTGAAAAACTCATTTTTTTTCAGTGCTGTTGTAACGTTGAGTGGTCATTAAATGAACTGTTGTAAGTTGAAGACTACCTGGACTAGGAACATTGTTAACTTAAGCTTGCATCCGTCTTTAATCAGAAAGACTACCTAAGTGTACATTTTCTCAACGTACACGGCTTCAAATATGGAAATCTGAACTATGATATCCTGTGGTAGAAAAAGACTGGGCCTTGATCTGTGTAGTAAGCAGAGCTTTGCTAATTAAATTAAGAGCTGGGAAAAAAGGCATTTCATGTCACGGAGGACACTTCTTAATAAACCACGTTCTCTTATTAGAACGAGGAATTCCACAGCGTGTTCTTATTAGATAGTAACCCCCTGTTGTTACACGGAGACTAATCTCAGCCGCATCAAAATTATGTTGTCGAGAACTGCCCAGAGTCATTTAAAAGAGATGGGCGGTATAGGAATTTAACAAACAAATCCACAAAGCTGTGGGTCAAATGTTCCTTTTGGTCATACTCCATGGTAACTGACATAAATATGTTTTAAGCTACTGACTTTATTCTTAATTTCTATCTTTGGGCTGCTATTTCTATCTTCTGCTAGTCAAAGAGGAATGAAATTTTGTGGGTTTGGGACCAACGAATGGAGGTACATTAGGAAAATCAGGGTTCCAAAATGTCAGCCTTCCTAGGTAGACTGGACTGGAAACATGATCAGATAAGCTAATCCTACCTTATTGTAAAGCTACGTTAACAGAATCTTGCAAGTCTGAAAGTACAATTCTCCCACTGTCAGCTTTATAGACTGAGAGCTTATGGAAGGTATCCCTCTGAGCCTCTTTCTTTGTCCCTTACACAGCTGAGGAACATGTTATCTCTTCCCTTGACAGCACCTCTTCGCCCCATCTCCCAACATTCCCACAACCGTTACATCATCCTCCCCATGCCTCGTCTTTTCGACTACAATTTGCTCTTTCGCAAGCAACTGCAGCTTGCACAAATACAAGGAAATTTTGATCCACACGCAACTAGGCCAGAAGTCAACAGGTCCATCGACACTGCTAAGTTCAATAGATGCATTCCTCTAAAAAGGAACTCAAGAGCCAATTGGCCTGGGCTGCGTCTAAATATATACAAACTCGTTGTAACAGCTCGTTAAGTAGAAGTCTGAAGTACAAGCTAATTAGGAGGCTAGTTAAATTGAAGAGCTTGGCTTCGGGTTTTGCGAGGGGCATTCTCTAATTAGATGGTGCGAATGGCAAGGTTTCAGCTGAATCTCAATATGGAAGAGAGCCTGGTCAACAAATTCCAAGTGGCATTTGATTTGCTAGAGGAAGTTTGCTTGAAAAGTTCAGTTAGAATGCATTTAATTTTTAAGCAATCATTGTCACGCCCTTAATTTCATGTATATTAATCAAATGCGGGTAAACAGAATGGATAAACAGATACACTGCTTGTCTGTTGCGGTAATTTTCCAAGAGAGGTTAGTGATGAATGCAGTAACACACTTAAGGGAGAAATAATAATGTCACACATTATGGCTAGTCAGCCAATTGAAATTCTTTTGGAAATAGCAGAAATGATATATGCCCTTCAGAGGCCTGCATTAAGTTTGCAAAATTGGCTATTTCTTGTAAATCAATTGCTATTTTAAATTTGAATATGGGATAAAGACCTTTCTTTTGACATAAGCTACGAAAATATGTGATCGGGCTTAGCTTTTGGGGAGGAAAATAAGGGGAAAAAATTGTGCCTCTGCCAACCAGCATCTATCGGTATTCATCTGGCTAGCATCCTGCCAGTGTGTGAGAGAGTGGAGGGCTTTTTGGAAACTGAAACAGTATTTGCTGTGTGAGCAAGAAGGAGACAGCAAGGAGCCTGGGCATGGCTTATCTCAACTGTTTTGTACTAAAGCTGCATGGTGCTGTGAAACTAAAAGTGAAACTAAAACTCCTCTCCTCTGCTTGAGTTTTGCATTTGGAACAGATTTTCTTTTCAGGTGGGGAGGGGGAGTAGAACTCCTTAGCATCAGAGCGTGTTAATAATAATATACGAAATACTAATGCTCTGATGGTCAGTTTGAAAAAATCCTTTCTTAGTGAGCGCCTAGAAGCCAAGAGGAATATACGTGCCCAATTTCAAGTTTGTAGGCTTTACAGTTCTGGAAATTTTGTGATGATGCGTGAGTGGTATTTCGCTTTTATATATATAAGAGATATACCGTATATATCTTAGCAAAAGCCCATGGATCATGAGAAATAATTCTCAGTCTGCAGTAGGTCTGCAAAGTAGTTCTATTTTTATTAAGCTATAAAACAGGAAAAACAAGAAAAGGCAACAAAAATAATACACTGAAGCCTGGAAACTGCATTCATATTGTTTTAACTTAAAACAGAGCTTCAAAACGAAGAAGCAAGTAACAGTTCCAAAGGTGCTTTTTCAAAAGGCAATTGGACTTTCTTTGTTTTTTTTCCTTGAAGGTATTTCACTTCTCATCTGAGAAGCTTCTTCAGTTCTGATGAATTCTCCACCATTCTGTCAGAACTGAAGAAGCTTCTCAGATGAGAAGAGAAACATTTTCAAGGAAAAAAAATATCAAAGAAATTCTAGTTGCCTTTTGGAAAAGCACCTTTGGGACAACCATGATCTGGATGACTGAGTATCTGTGATGACCCAGAGTGGGATACAAAATAAACACAGTCACAAAAAACAACAACAACAGGTAAAGCCCCTTTTATTCCTTCACTTTGCTTCCAAGCTTCAAATATCTTTGACTGGAGACAAAAAACTCCCACACGAGCAGTTACTAGAAGGAGGAAATGCCGTTTACACTAAAAATGTCTATAAATTCTAAAGAATAAAAAGCAACACAAACCAGGCAAGACAAGGGCTTGAAGACGTCCACAGATATCCGAACACACACTGGGAAGGACGCCAAACTCAGAGAGGAACCATAAGCTAGAGATATTTCCATGCTTTGTTTCCAGCACTCGCCCATACGCATGTCCGTCCTCTTATCTAGTTGTCACAGCTGCAGCCCATGAAGACGATCAAGGCCCTCTCCTCCCCAGTAGACTACGTCTCTCCCTGATCCTCTCCTCCCTGCATGCCCTAGGATGGAGAGGGGATGGGCCTGGGTCCTCCTCTGATTGCCCAGCCGGCCTCTGCCCTTCCCCAGCCTCCTCCACAACCTCCGGAGCCACATTTCCACTCCCTGTTGGCTGTTCCTCCTCTCCCTTGGAGTCAGTCTCCACCAGGTGCATGATAGTATCTCCATAGACATGCATGCTAATAACAATTAATATAAAGCTGGCAAAAACCTCAACTGTCCTAAGCAGAAGAAAAAAAATAATGGGTGAATCCTGCAACTTGTTTAATTTGCGTTTTGCTTTGTAAAATTTAGGCAGGCAAATCTCTCAGGTTCCAAGAAAGAAATTTAGCTCACAGTCTTTTGAGTTTGGAAACTTGATGGTACTTTTCTTTAGGCTGCTAAGAAGAAAAACGGAAGGCTTGCTCATTACTGAGTCAAAGGTTTTAGACACTACTCACCTTTGCAATGATTTTCATCCCATGGATATGCACAGTTCTGAACGCCATTGCAAACCAAGGTATTATTGATACACATGTTGCTGTGGCAGAAGTAAGTACCACCTAAACAAGGAGCTGAGAGAAACAGGGGAGGAAAATAAACAAAGATTACACAAATTTCAGCTGTTCCTTAAAATACATTTTCGGCACATAAATTTCTTCAAAGTTTCATTAGATTTTAGGTGTAGGTTTTTAGGTATAATAGAGCAGCATATTTAGCGGTGGTGGAGGTAGTCTAGTGATGAAGACACTCGCCTCCCATTCGAAAGGTTGAGAGTTCAATCCTTGGAGGCAGCAGACATTTCTCTCTTAGGGCACCAAGAAAAAAAAATGCTATGAACTTCTCAGGGCATCAGGAAGGGCATCCAGCCAGTAAATGCTCAGCTCCATCCAGTCACCCCAACTCTATTCTGAATAATTAAGGGATTATAGGGTCATAAAAAGGGAGTTTCAGAGTAGTATATCTATATCTATATCTATATCTATATCTATATCTATATCTATATCTATATCTATATCTATATCTCTATATCTATCTATATCTATATCTATATCTTATATATATATATAAGCGAAATACCACTCACGCATCATCACAAAATCTCTAGAACTGTACAGCCTACAAACTTGGAATTTGGCATGTATGTTCTTCTTGGCTTCTAGGTGCTCACTAAGAAAGGATTTTTTGAAATGACCACCAGAACATTAGTATTTCCTACATTATTATTATCAACACACTCTGATGCTAAGGACTTCTACTCCCCCTCCCCACCTGAAAGGAAATCTGTTCCAAATGCAAAACACAAGCAGAGGAGTTTTAGTGTCAGTTTTAGTTTCACAGTATCAAGCAGCTTTAGTACAGAACAGTTGAGCTAAGCCACACCCAGGCTCCTTGCTGTCTCCTTCTTGCTCACACAGCAAATACTGTTTCAGTTTCCAAACAGCCCTCCACTCTCTCACATTCTGACAGGACGCTAGCCAGATGAATACCGATGGATGCTGATAGGCACAGGCAGAATCTCCCCACCTTATTTTCCTCCCCCAAAACTAAGCCCAACCACATAGTTTCATAGCAAAGCACGGGTATCAAACTAGTTTAGAATATTTGTAGGAGATAACCAGGCTGAGCCTGAGGGAGGGGTCAAATGTGTCATCAGTCATGAGTCCTTGCACACCCACAAAAGATAAATATCCAGCCAGCCTTGAATGCCATAATTCCTGCTCATTTCTCTTGACTGTTAGTAGCTCAGATTGCTGTAGAGAGCTTAAGTTGCAATAGATTTTTATACTCATTTGAATCTAAATCTCCTGATTTCCTCGGCGCTTGACAATATTTTTTTATAGATTTGGCTATCTCTATCACATCCATGCACCCTATTAAAAGCAGTCTATTGATAGATTTATTTTTCCTCAGCAAAACAGTTTTCACGATGATGATATAGTAAATCAACTTGGTGAGAAATTGCTTTCTTGTAACCATTTCTTTCCAAGTTCCTGGCTTTGCACATTCTGTGTTTTTAATTACAAGCCACCATCTACCGATTGTCAGTAGAGTAATAAGATGATTACGTCACCAATTTATTGGAAAAGATGCAAATATCATTTCAGATTTAATTATAGCTCTTGTTCCTTGCCACTGTTCTTAGTCTAATGTACAGAGCTTTAATTAAGGACGATGACTCCAAAGCTTAGTATATTAGAGAAGGTTCGTCTAAGCAGGTTTAGCTCAAACTACCGTATTTTTTGGTGTATAAGAGGTACTCCCCCCCCCAATGGAAATGTCTGTGCATCTTACACAGCGAATGTTACTAAAGCCCCACTCACCTGCTGGCCCCCACCCTTCGGCCTCTGCCTGCCAGCAATTTGCCTCCCTGTAGCAAACAAACAGCAAACAGTTGGATCATCTGCCCGGAATACCGATGATCAGCTGTTCCAGGCTGCAGGGATTGCCACCACCTATCACTGCCTTCATGCACCCCATTTTCGGCCTCCACGCACTCCGTGGGGCACACTGAGGATGAAAATGGGGGACATGGAGGCAGGAATAGGTGATGGTGATCCCTGCAGACTGGAACAGCTGATTGTTGGCATTCCGGGCAGCCGATCCAACTGACGATCAGCTGCTCATGCTAAATCAGGCTGTGCTGAAGCTGACCAGGCTGTTTGCTGCAAGGAGGCAAATTGCTGGGAGGCAGAAGCGGATTTTTTTTTGTTTTCCTCCCAAAAGCTGGGTGCGTCTTATAGTCCAAAAAATATCGTATGTCAGGAAGGAGAAAAAAAACAAAACCTACCAGGAAGTGTTACACAATCACATTGTCTTTTTCAACTGAAAGCTTCAGGATATACTTGTTGTGGTTTGCTGGCAGCAGGTGCAGACGGCTGAGGTCTCGGAAAGTGAGGACTCAGATGAGGGGCCTGCGTGTGATGCAGGGATGGGGCCAGGACCATCAGGGAGTGGAATGCTGCCTTTGGAGATTGTGGAGGCTGGCAGCAGTGATGAAGAGGCCCCCGAGGAGCCTGTGCCCAGTGCGCATGTGCACAGGGCTACTCGAAGGAAAAAGCAGCTGCAGCAGCAAGGGCAACTCGGGAGTAAGGCTGCAAGGTAATGGCCCCTCCCTTAAGAGATAAAAGCCAGCTGAGAAACCAGAGTTCTTTGCAGGAAGCAAAGAAGTTGTTGCACTCAAGCCTTGTGGACGTTTGGACTCTCTTAGTTTGTGTTTGGAGACTCTTTGTGTTTGAACTATTTCTTGGCAACTTTATCTAGCGTTCTTGGCAGCCATGCACAACCTTGGTAAGGCTCATTCTTATCAGAGATAATTGGTTTGAAACAGCCTTTTAGGAAGGAACGGAATTTGTAAAGAATCATTAAAAGGTTTTGCTGTTACCTCCGTTTCGTGTTTGTTTCCTTGGAACAAGGTTTGGGTCAGAACAATACTTACGATCCATGAATGAGGTAAAGAGCATCTGAAACCGGCTTAGCCGACTCCCTTCGTCCGCCCACATGCGTATCACCCCGGTTCCTGTTTGAAGCATCACATCATTAGCCACCGTACTGCAAAACTTGGCTTTCAGGTTTTCAATGGAACTGCTTCCATCATAGACGGCCACAAAGTTTCTCTTGCATTCATTGGAGTGCTCCATCTGATAGTCCAGAAATCTCAAATAGATCTATTGGACGGTACAAGAAAAGAGTTTTCAAAGAAACGAAGGAATCATTCAAAGACCAATTGGAACACATTGTTTTTCATCAGGAGAAAAAAAATAAACAGAGTAATAGAACAGAATAACAGAATTGGAAGGGACCTTGGAGGTCTTCTAGCCCACCTCCCCTGCTTGAACAGGAAACCCTTAAACCATCTCAGACAAATGGTTATCCAGTGTCTTCACCAGTGTTGGAGCATCTACAACTTCCAGAGGTAAGTCATTCCACTGGTTTATTGTTCTTCACTGTCAGGAAATTTCTCCTTAGTTCTAGCTTGGTCCTTTCTCCGATTATTTTCCATCCATTGCTTCTTGTCCTGCCTTCAGGTGCTTTGGAGAATAGCTTGACTCCCTCTACTTTGTGGCAGCCCCTCAGAAATTAGAACACTCCTATCATGTCACCCAAGTCCTTCTTTTCATTAGACTAAGGTAAAGGTAAAGGTTCCCCTTGCACATACGTGCTAGTTGTTTCTGGCTCTAGCGGGCGGTGCTCATCTCCGTTACAAAGCCGAAGAGCCAGCGATGTCCGACGATGTCTCTGTGGTCATGTGGCCGGCATGGCTAAAAGCCGAAGGCGCATGGAACACTGTTCCCTTCCCACCAAAGGGGTCCCTATTTTTCTACTTGCATTTTTTACATGCTTTCGAACTGCTAGGTTGGCAGAAGCTGGGACAAGTCACGGGAGCTCATTCCGTTACGTGGTGCTAGGTATTCGAACCGCCAAACGGCCGACCTTTCTGATCGACATGCTCAGCATCTTAGCCACTGAGCCACCGCATCCTTCTTCATTAGACTAGACATACCCAATTCCTGCAACACTTCTTCATCTGTTTTAGGCTTCAGTCCCCTAATCATCTTTGTTGCTCTTCTCTGCACTCTGAAATGTCATCAGATACAAGGAATAGATGCACAGCTTGTTTTTATGTCCCCATCTCTCTCTCTGTCTCTCTGTCTCTCTCTCTGTGTGTGTGTGTTTGGGTATACAACTTGCTGCTTCTAATCACTGCATTCTCTCATGCATAAAGCTAAAAAATCATATGTTCCAAAACAATTCCCCTCTTAAATAGATTTTATACTTTTTCTAGGGCAGAGAGGGACAAAAAAAATCAATTTGATTACAACAGAAAATGGGGCTTTCATTGAAGAACAGAAGCAAATCCCTCTATTTTTCCTCCCTTCCCCAACAAGCTTGATTAAACTGCAAAGCAATTTATTTCCCTTCCTCTGGAAATTAAGTCTGCATTGCTAAGGTGGTATAATTGAAATAGCAAAGAGACGTTATGTAACTCTCAATTCATTAAATAGGATTCCTTGTCGAACTTCCAAAATTGAAGGGTGCAATTATAAACATAAAAAGAATTTTGTGAGAAGAAAGAATACAAGATCAGGCCGACATTTGTTAGGTTTCTACTGTATAAGGAGGCAGACTTTTATTCAGATGTAAAGGACATTTTTTCCCACCTGCAAACAGTGACGATTATCTAATTAATATAATTCTGTCTTGATAGATGCATTACATGATTTTATCAGTTTTATCTGATAGAAGATAGGTCAACAATTCCTACACAGACAGATGTTTAAAGGCACACCTTATTTTAATAAGATTCGTTTTATTGTGCTTTGCAAATATTGTGATCTTTTACAAGACCTTGTACCTAGCAAAAAGATTGCAATCACTGAAGGCTCAAATCATAATGTGGCATTTTATAACAATAAAGCATTTATTAATTAAGGATATTGTACATCAGTTTTTTTTTCAGGACTATTTCTATTGTATACTTAGCAGACTACACTATAGTATAAACACACTTTGATATGTACTGGGAACCCCCCCCCCCCAAAAAAAAAAAATTGTGTGACTTGTTTATTGTGATATTCTGGAACCGAACCTGCCATATTACTGAGGTATGTCTGTATATTGGGACTACAGTAAAAAAATGAAAAATATTATCGTATTTTAAAGCAGGGGTCCCTCACCCAGTCCAGAAAGCTGGAAAAGTTTGGAATCCTGATTTAAAGCACCTAAAGGCTGAAGGATTGTCATACCAGATAGTAACCCTACTAATGTGGTCTGGAAGCAGCTTGCGTAGTCCAGTCTGGATTGGTTTTTCGGTAAGCGCCAGTGCAATCATTAATTTCTGGGGACAAGGGGCGACACTTTGCAATTATTACCAACAACTAGCTGTTCTCGGATACCGATAAGTAAATGTCCGTTAGACTCCAACTCTTTGGTAGACCCACCTTAGAATTTGGAGTCGCCTTAATTGTCCATATGCAGTCAACGGCTTCCCCTGGCTTGACTTTTTCTCCATGTTCTACCTGGCTCGAGCGTACTATGCCATCAGCTCCGGAGAGCTCAAATTGGCAATCTAGAATGGGAAAGACACAACTGATAGTCAGACTGGAGATTTTATTTATTTGTATTGATTTATGTATTTGTCAAGCATGCATTAGATAACATGTATAAGTATAAACATGATTATGAATACATGAAATTGGTACAAATAAAAAGGAACATTAGGACAGGGTTGGTAGGCACGTTGGTATGCTTATGCACATCCCTTACAGACCTCGTAGTAATGGGGTGAGGTCAACAGCAGATAGTCTAAGGTTAAAGTTTTGGGGGTTTGGGGAAGAAACCACAGAGTCAGGTAGTGTATTCCAAACATCTGCAAATTTGGTAAGTTACCCTTCTATTCCCTCATCTAAGTCGTTAATGAAGAAATTTTTGAGAAGATGTCTGTCTCGGAGTTATTGGTTGGAGTGGAGGTTTTCTGGGATGCTGACACTCTGCCAATGAAAAAGGAGCTCGGGCGGAGCGCATGCAGACCTCCTCAGCTCCATTTTGGAGGTTTCCTGGAACGCTAACACTCTTGTCAGTCGAAAACAGAGCTCAGGAGGACTGCGTGCGCCCCTCCCGAGTTCCTTTTTCGCTTGACACCATTCGAGCAAACCTCCACGCCAACCGATAACTCCTTTTTCACTACTGCCACTAGGTTGTAGATCAGTGCCCGATCGGCCTGGGCTAGGCCAAGGCACCGCAGGCCAGTCCTTCATGGTCCCATGGGCCAGATCTAAGCACCCTGTGGGCTGGATCCTGCCCGCGGGCCTTGAGATTGATACCCCTGATTTAGAGTGCAATACGCAAAAGAGATTAGTACTGTAATTCCATACCTGGGATGGGCTTTAAAATACCTTCTCGGTGGGTGAAATCAGGATCTGGAAAGGAGAAGGAGAAAGAGGAGAAAAAGGACGTTATTCTGCCTAAAATATAATTAGAAAGCATGATAATCCAAGGACTGGAAAAATGCAGTACACCAGGATGCGGGACCGAGAAATGACATTTCATTTATTCCCAATGACATACAGCAGGTAGTCCTTATCTTACAACAGTTCATTTAGTGATGATTCAAAGTTATAACAGCACTGAAAAAAGTGACTTATGACCATTTTTCACAATTATGACCAGTTGCCGTATCCTCATGGTTATGTGATCAAAACCCAGACGCTTGGCAACGGACTCACCAGAGATTTTTCCCATGAATATATTTAATTGGAGAACATGAATGATGACACCCAGCCTGTGAACGTGCTCAATTGGAGAATCTGATTTATGACACACCCAGGGGGGAGGGGGAAACAGGATCACAGGTGAGTGTAAATTATATATGCCAGAGTTGGCTTCATACAGGGTAGTGCCAGTATGTCGCCTCTAATGAATCCTTTGAAGTTTTTTGAAGTTTGGCTTGAGAATCATGATTTAATCAGGGCGATTGCTGGAATCCTGACAACTTGTATATCAACAATGAGGCAGCTGACATGTCCTTCCTAAGACTTTAATCCTATTTATATAGGTTGAGGGGATTATGAGTATTTTTCCCCACTCAAAATGAATATTTTTTTCAGAATAAACCTGGTTAAAGTCATAATCATGATTTGAGGTTCCTGCTTATAATATGAGAAGTTGACATGTCAAGGTTGCCTCTCGGACGTCGAGAGCAATACAAGATTAACAGGTAAAATGTTAGTCTAGAATCTACCTGCATCTCTCAGTAAAATGAACGTAAAACAACCCTGAGTAGAATAAATAGGATAAATTGTGCTTTGGCAAGCAGAACAAGAAACCCAATAGTATTCTAGCAGAGTCACTACGACACCAAGTAAGAAAAACAGGAGATTTCTACCTGGTATAAATGAGTACTTGGCTTTAAATCCTCGTCCTTCCAATTCTTCATCCGAAGTGAACTTGATCCACATAAATCTTCCTGTTGACCTAATCGGGGTCGGGCTTTTCAGTCCGCAGTAGCGATCGATGAGTGGGGAGAACCCAAAAGGTCCGTCTCGAACCTCCAGATGATCAAATCGACATTCGAAGGAAGGCTCAATGAAGAAGGGTTCGTCGAATGTCAACTCTATTCTTTGCCGTGGGGCAGCTGGAGCAAAGCAGAAACAGTACAGATCAACGTAACTTGCGATGAAAGAAAGCCACTTGCTGAAAGATATATTACTAGCAACAGAGACAGCACTTAGACTTATATACTGCTCCATGGTATTTTTACAGCCCTCTCTAAGTGGTTTACGGAGTCAGCATATGTTCCCCCAACAATCGGGGTCCTCATTTTACCAACCTCAGAAGGACGGAAGGTTAAGTCAACCTTGAGCTGTTCAGGATCGAACTGCTGGCAGTGGGCAGAGTCAGCCTGCAATATTGCATTCTAACCACTGCCCCACAGCTCTTGAGATAGATGATAGATACATACATAGATAAATAGATAGGTAGGTAGGTAGGTAGATGATAGACAGACTGACAGACAGACAGATGATATAGACAGATAGATGGACAGACAGACAGACAGATTGATAGATCAATAATATGGACTGATAGACAGTGATAGAAATTCTAGATAGACAGAAGATGGATAGAGATAGATAGATAGGTAGGTAGGTAGATAGATAGGTAGATAGGTAGATAGATGATAGATAGATAGATAGATAGATAGATAGATAGATAGATAGATAGATAGATAGATAAAGAGAGAGAGAGAGAGAGAAAGAGAAAGAGACATATGATAGATCAGGGGTCCCCAAGTTGTGGTTATGAGAAAAACCTCTTATTTTTAATGACTCAGTTAACAACCTGGAGTTGTTTCCACCCAACTTAAGTGCAGCTTACATGTAGCTTAAATGTTCTATAGAGCAGTGTTTTTCAACCTTGGCAACTTTAAGGTGTGTGGACTTTGACTCCCAGAATTCTCCAGCCAGCTATTGGAGTTGAAGTGTACACAACTTGAAGTTGCCAAGGTTGAGAAATCAGCTCGCTTCTGTCCTGCCTCTTTTTGTATATTGTTAACAAAAAGGCTACACAACTGCATCGCTAATACAAAAG